TATGTATCTATGTACTTATGTATGTATATAGGTAGAGAGAGATAATTACAGGTGTTCGTGCGCGTGCACGTGCGAAGGATTGTGCTTGCCCTGCATTTTCCCTTAAGCCTGGTAGAGAGAGAGAACGAGATAGATACTTAGGGAGTATATAGCCGAAAATCTGAAGAACTTTATGTAGTACCATGTTCAGTCACATTTTACGATGTTATGCTGCCATATGGTATACTTATCTTAGGTGTGCTCAGAGGAGTAAGGATTCTTCAGGGTTTCATTTTTTTCGGATTTCTTGACGTTGCTGGGAATTCTAGGCTTAAAGGCTCGAGAGGTTTAGTTTCTCGTGCCGGCTCAGGGTGTTTGAGATGTAATTAGGCTTCGGGGTTGAAGCCCTGAGCGCTAGAGTGTTTGCGTCCAATTTGGTGCTAGATATTTCTCTGCAGTCGGCATTATGAATAATTAGCTGCCTGGCTACGGTTGGATTTCAGCGTTGCTGTTTGATGCTGCTTGTTGTTGCTTGCTACTGGTTGCAAGACGGTTTTTTCAACATCATTTCGTCACGTGGGAGTTGCGTTACGTGTTGTTCGGGGTCATGCCATCGTACGGCAACTAGTTAGCATGAGTTTTGACGATGGGGCTGCTGTCAGGGCTTCAAGCCCAGGGATAGACCGCGGGCTTCGTTTCTCCTGAGCCTTGGAGTTGGGTATTTCGAGGACTTCCAGAGCTCTTGGTCTTGGGGATTCAGATCTCAGCGTGCAGGTCCCTAAAGTAGGCAAAGCTCCTTCCCTCCCGTGCCCATTTTCAGTACGATTGCTTATGAGTTTTGCTGGCATGTCTCCCCCGCATCCAAAATATAGTTCTGTCTACTTGTGCATTTATGTCTGTTATGCGATAAGTGTCGGCATTGTTTCATCATCCTTTATCGTCTTGTAGCATCCGGTGTTGTCTTGTATTATCCTTTTGTGTCTTCCAGGATTTTATATTATGTTACCCCTTATATTTTATCTCATATGGTCTCATACTGTCTTATATTCTCATAGTCTCTGATATTATCTGTTATGCTATATGACCTTCTATGAGCTGAAATCGTCTTATAGTAGATTAGTCGTTTATACGATACCAGATGATATGAGATGGTATGATATGATAAGATATCAGATGAGATGAGTTTGTCGTATTTTATATCGTAGTATGGTATCAAGCAGGCCTCTTGGCCGCGGGGAGAGTGGCGAGTTGAGGCCGCTGTCTTGCAAGGTGTGGGCACAGCGTGGGCGTTAAGACTTTCAGGGCTTAGCGCCAAGAATCCGCGAGGTCGGCAGAAGCATTTTTTCTACCTAGGCATGGCTGCAGGATGTTCCAAAACAGGTTTGAGGGTTTACGTTTCTCACTGCAGAAGGCGACACATGGGCACAGCATGGCGCAGCTCTGCGTCGCTGATGGAACCCATTGCCGACGGGCCTCAAGACCCATTAGGCCCATGACTTTCTCTCCGCCGCCGTGCGTTAAAGGCTGAGAAAGTATCAGAGGTTCATAGATACGGCTTAGGATCTCAGGAAGCGTTGCGTTTTTTTTCGGGGATTCGGGTCCCGCAATTGGGCTCCAGGCATTTGTTCCGGAGGAATGGAGACGTTGTGCAACCTGCTGGCCCGATCAGGCCATAAAGCTGAGGCGGAAAGCGGCAACATCCCCCCAAACTGTGCACTCTGTTCCTTTTTCGTCTGGCCAGGTAGCGCAGGAGGACTGGATCGCCCTGGACCAGGCATGTCATGGGTTGCGGGTACTGAGTGTCAGAGCGCGTCGGCTCTAGCGGAGGAAGTTTGATGCGGCCACGCCGTCCATACCCAACAAAACCCCGTTGCTGGCTAGATCCTGGAATGTAGTCGCTTGATGGCACGGTTTGCTGCCAAGCCGACGAGGAGACGAGCCAGAAGCTCCTCGAAGAGTACTACAGTGGGCATACTGAGGTGGGCGCAATGACCAAGGGTTTTTAGTTGATGTTTTAGAGAGAGGTGACTTATGGTCTACCATCAGGTTCAAAAGAAATCGACGCTGCAGCAGGAGTTCCTCATTCCTTTCCTGTCAAACCTGCCCGGCATTTTTTCCCTTTTCGGTCGAGTGCCCCCACTGAGCAGGGGCAGTGGCAGTGGCAGTGGTCGCGGTCGTGGTCGTTAACTGCCGTGTCTTTCTCGCGAATGCTGACTGCTGCTATACCATGACTACCTGGAGCATGCTGGGGATCGTGAATTCTGAACCCAAAATCCACGACCACGACCACTACTACTACCACAGCCACTGCCACACTGCTACTGCACTGCTACTGCACTGCTACTGCACTGCTACTGCTACTACAGCTCCTGGTGCTGCTGCTACTACCTCTGCTACTGCTCCTGGCCAGTTCGACTGCGACTGCGACATGTTCCTGAAATGCAGGCCACTTACTCGAGCTTCAACAACAACTACCATGTGGATTTCTATGGCCAGATGCAGACGGACCAACAAACTGGAAGGCCGCAGCGTCAGGCGTAATGTAAACCGGTTGGGAGTTATAACCTCTTTGACAAAGTACGAAATAGGATCCTGCATCCAAGGGCGCTTGGCTTTGAAGGCTCCTTTTTCACAGTCTGCGCCTTCGTGGGAAGGGGTTGTGCTGGTTTGCCGCAAGGGTTCAGGCAGAGCCATGTCAATGTCAGGATTTGGGGAGTTAGCTTTCGGAGTCGAGGAGACCCTTGTTCATAAAATTGCTGACGAGCCGCAGGCAATGCCGCATCTGCTGGTTCGAAGCTGCGGAGGTTCCGAAGTCACAGACGGCCGGCCAGGAGGCGTAAACGAGCCAGAGCAGGGTTCAAATGCTGTCAGCCCCTCAACACTTTGTGTGTGTGTGTGTAGAAAATTCTCGAGAGAGATCTCAAAATCCATGAAGTAAGCGTCGCAGTTTCGCCGGCCAGGGAGCAGCCAATTGGCGGTAGGTTGACTTCTCAACAAGGGTCACCCCCGAACTATTGTACGCTGTCAAGAGGATTCTTGTGATTCAGACATTTTCGCGTTGTTTAGTTTAAGGAAATTTAAGGCTTTATGTGCTGTGGTTGAGCGGGTCTGGCCCCGAACACTTCAGCTCATAAATCAGAACCGAACTGTGGTTTTAGGGTAACACCGGGAAACTCAGGGATCTAGTGGACCTGAAACGGTGTGCTTGTAATTTTGCACCTTCTGCTCAGTCAAAGCGTTTTTCGATTTTGCCGGTTCTTGAAGCGTTTGGCACCTGAAAGCAAACCTGTGCTATCGCGGCATGTACTGCATCTTGCAGAGTCTAGCAAGTATGTATGTGACTATAGAATACATCACCGGAAGTGCTCATCCCTTTTTTGAATTCAGTATTGGCTCCGCAATGGGAGGAAGGCGCCTTCGCACCGTACCTCATCTTGCCTGACCCTACTTCTCCTGAACCTCGACAGAACACGTTGGCAGTAAGCCTTGGTGCTCAAACACCATAATCCCCTTTGTCCATGTCGCCACTGTGTCTGACAAGGCTAAACCTCTACATCCCGAAGCCGCAAGCAACAACTGCAAGCCCGAAGTATTTTTCTAGCCACACGTGCCATTGAGCGCAGGAGGTTACTGCCGCACCGGAGGTCTACCTTGGCCCTGGTCCCAGACTAGACACTTTGACTGCGCAAGGATTCGTTTGTCAGGTTTGGAAATGCGTCTCTTTTCCGAGTTCCCGGCAAAGCCAAAGTAACCACAGCACCTTTTGCAAACTGCCGGGCACCTTCTTCCAGCGCCCAGTGCTGCATGCCAGACGGCTTCCGTTTGATAGAAAGCTATGCCTCCGTTCACTTCGGACTCGCACAAGACCCTTAAGCCCTCACTATTGGGACTTTATAGGTAGAGACCCTAAAGGAGACCACCCTTAGAGCACTTCTTGCAACAATTTGACCGTGACGTCGATGCGGTTCCCAGCACGTACAAACAGAAAGCCATGCAGCCAGCTTTCGAGACACCAGCCCGGAACTGAGTCTCGACATGACACGAAACTCAGCAACACGGCAGCAGAGCCAAAGGAGTGGTTGTAGCTAGAATGTCGCAATAGAAGTAAGTTGTTGAGATGTAGTCAGTGATGGTGGTGGGCATGGCGTTGGCGGCGGTGGTAGTTAAGCCTAGCATTCTGTGTGTCGATGTGGCTGTTTCGAGATCCGGGGATGTTTGCTTTTAGGTAAAAAATGAGGGGAAAATAGGATGCTCGTTGAATGGAACGTGAGCAACATTCTTTCTTGTGTTCTATGTCTTCGGTTTTTGTGCCTCGCCCTCGGATTTCGGGCCTAAATCTAGCCGCTACAGTATTTTTTTGCTAGTTTTTGCTGGTATTGTCCAGGTTTCCAGCATCTCAGGAAACAGTAGGCAAAACATGGGATTTTGGTTGAAAATGAGCGAAGGTTTGTGTTTCTTCCGATTGTTTGTGTCTCAAACCAAAGCCTGATTCCATGTTTGTTTACTGTTTGTCAAAGTCTGGTTCTCCCGAAGAGTTTGAGCTTCTCTCCTAAACACAATGATTCTGGCCATGACCTGCAATAAGTCTAGTCGTCGTCGTCGTAGTAGTAGTAGTAGTCGTCGTAGTAGTAGTAGTAGTAGTAGCAGCAGCAGCAGCAGCAGCAGCAGCAGCGGCGGTCGCAGCTTTAGCAGTAGCAGCAGCAGCAACGCAGCCGTGCGGGTGCTGGTGCTCATACCAGGACCAAGCATCACAAGCTGCAATGGTTGCAACGGCAGTATCGCTGGTACTTGAAGCCGTCGGCCTTGTCTCCCACCTCGCTAGGCTCTTGTCGCAAGCTCAATCTCTGCTCCAACTAAGAGGGAAGTGCTTTCACGGCAGTTCTCGGTTTCCCGCCCGCACACACGAAAGCCACGAGAAGCGGCCTTGTTGCGGTCTGCATTCGGTTGATCGGCTACATGGGCAAAGCCCGTTGAACCGCCCACGAGCCCAAGTCAAAATATCTTTCGACCCGAGGTGGGGAGTGGCTTATCGAGGCTGGTGGGCATCGGAGTGCGGCGTCTCTTAAAGATTCTTGTGTTGTCAAAGCCTCGTGCAGAGAGGTCTTGATCTGGCTGCTCATTCCTCTCACTCTCCCTCTCCCTCCCTCCCTCTCCCTCTC